AATGGACGCAACCCGGAAAACTATCGGCATGGATTTTTGCCGATAACCGATAGTTCCAGCAATCAACTATTGGTGCCAATTAATCGGCAAAACCGATACATCGGTCGACCTCTAGTTAAAATACTTCCTTCCGTCCCAAATAAATATGCAGAGACAGCTATTTGTAGAGACAAGCTGTTTGTAGATTGATTTCACTGAATATTGTGAACGCAGTGACTCTGTGGTGCTATCTGAAAATTGCTCAGATTGTGTAATGTGGTGTTTGGGTTTTGTCATGTTCATGTTTTCCATGTCTTTTATTTTGTAATTGTTTCCTGCTGTTAGTGTCATGCTTCCCTTGCCCTCTTGTCTTTATGCCATTGGTTCCTCTGTTCTTTCTGTCATGTTCTGATTGGTTGTCCAAGTCATGTGTCTTGTTTCCCATTGGTTTGTTCTTGTCATGTGACCCTCATTGTCTGCTATAAGTAGCCCTCATGTTACCGTCTGGGTTATGTTCGCATTGGTTGCTTTAGTCATGTGCCTTGTTCCCATTGGTTTGTTCTTGTCATGTGACTCTCTTGTTTGCTATAAGTAGCCATCATGTTACCATTGTCTCTTGTCGTGTATTGATGTTGTAACCCGCTGTTGGTGAGTCTGGTCTGTTTATGCCTCGTCAAGTCTGTTCATGCCTCGTCAAGTCTGTTCACGTCTCGTCAAGTCTGTTCACGTCAAATCAAGTCTCGGATTATGTTTGGATTTTGGATTTCACCTGTAAATAAACTGCACTTGGGTTCTCACTTCAACTCGCCTTCAGTGGACTGATTCGGTACAGATTGTTTGAGCATCCCAACCAGGCCAGTGTACATTATTTCATCCAGTTTGGGACAGGACTATCTGTTTTTCCTACCAATGGCAAATTTCTAGATGATATATTGTATAGATGATATATTGTCATTTATATATATATATTTTTAGTCTTTAATTAATTATTTTTTATTAATTTACTATTTATTTTTGTAGCATTTTATAAAAATCATCTAAGTAATTTGTATTATGTTATAATATAAAATTCAAAAACAATTAAAAGTGTGTGTGTGTATTATTTTTCTTTTATGTTTATATTATTATTTACTTTATATATTGTATTTATATAAAATATTATTGGTATTATATATATATATATATATATATATATATAGTATTTCATTTGTTTACTCAGTTTTAATTATATATATTATAATTTTAACAATTAATTTTTTTTGTAAATTAAGTCCATAATATTGGTCAAGATTAGTAATTTACATTCTCCATATTCTTTTAAAAAATTCAAATAAAATAATAATAATAATAATAAAAGAGAGTAAAATGTTTTTTTTTTCTAAAGAGCTAATGTTGCATAAGATTGTAAATATCATGACCTGGAGATTGTATTATCTACCAGAATGTCTTTGACTGTGACATTTCCATAACCCTTATCGGCTCCCCACTTCCTGTAACCTATCTCTCTCTTTGTCTTTCCTCAGGTGAAGTGAAAGGCAGGTGCTGTGTGCTATCTCTCTCTCTCTTACTCTTCGTCTCGGTCTCAGTGAGTGCTACACATGGCTTCCTCACTCCTGACCCGCCAGCTGGCCATCTCCCTTCAGCAAAACCTGTGTCTCGCCGCTCCAGGTAAAAATACCACGGAGAGATGGAGGACTAAGATACCCTCCAGTCTTAAAAGTTTGTTAAACTTCCCTGTCTGATAGAGAACAGAGACTATAATGTTCTCAACCTGCCAGTGACCCTCAAAAAGAGCTGTAGCTGTCACAGACTTTATCGAAGTGATGCAACTGCATGCTCAGCTTGGGGAAGTGAGACGCTTCCTTTAAAATGATAATGATGTGTGGTTATCAGAGCTCGGAAATGCTCCCAAAATGTAATCTGTGCGACCTCAAAATATATTTGGGAGCAAACAATTGTTGTGGCGCAACCTATATTCATTTATCTACGAAACCTTCGCTAATTACTGCACAGTATGTGCCTGCTGTGAGTTGATACAGTGACCGGTCTGCCGATCTGTCCAATGTTACATAGCCAATCAAACTTCATCCTTACATTCTTAACTTTAATGCAGATGTTAGACTGGTTAATATTAGCTGTCAATCACTCAACTGCTCTCCATCATCACGAGACCGGAATCTTAATTGGAACCGGCATGTTTTTGCTCCAAATGGCTTTTGTTTTATTTCAGACAATCTCTGTTCCGGATTTGCACAAACGGCATTGCAATCATTTTCCAAAATGTCATTTGTGTGGAAAAATTACAAAGCCTATAAATGGCCATTAATGGAGACCAGAGAGGCTGAAGACAGACGCAAAGAGGGAAAAATACTATAGCAGGCAGAGTATCTTTCTGACTGTCTTCAAAAAATTTTACATGATATTTTCTTTTCATCTTAACTCCCTATAGTGCATATTAAAATGGTGTTTTATAAGCACAAGCGTTGCTTTGTTTAAAGGAGTCGTTCACTTCCAGAATGAAAATTCTGTCATAATTTACTCCTGTATGAGTTTCTTTATAGTATTTTTTTCCTACTATGGAAGTCAATGGTGCCCATCAACTCATACAGGTTTGGAACAAGTGGAGGGTGAGTAAATGATGACAGAATTTTCATTCTGGAAGTGAACTACTCCTTTAAAGCAGTAACCAAGGAAACACTGCATCACTGCTGTCCAATAAGGGCCACTTGCTGTCAGAGATTGAATTTGCATTCTGCTTCAGCCCATCTGCTGTTTTTGTTTCGTGCAGAGATGTTGTAGGTAGCATCATTTCACAAAGCTAAAGTCAGAACATTCTGTTTTTGCTTCAGATTTCAAACTATGCAATCTAATTTAAAGGGGACAGAAACACAGTTTCTGCCAATCATGTTAATCTTGAGTACCTATAGAGTTGCATTGCATCCTTCATATTATATATTTAGTTTTATCAGATTTATAAAAGAAAGAAACAGCTTTACGTTTCTCTCTGAAAACAGTCGAACTCCTGGAGGCGTGTCGTGGGCAGAGCTAAAGAGTCACAAGCATACAAAGCTTTTATGTAGCGATTGTCTGCAAGCTGTGACATCGACATAAATAAATCCTTAACGCTGTGTTCTTTGGGAAGCTGAATAAGGTTATCTTTCCCTCACAACCAAAAACAGACTTCTTTGGTGAAATTGTTGTTTTTTTGGTCAAAAACAAAATGTAAAATCCTTCTCGAGCAAGTCCTGTGCAGCGCTGCCGACGACTTCTGTAACGCCATTGAAGCACTTTAGAAGCACATAGAGAAAATAAACATCTTGTTCATGTACTCATGTTTTCATTCTTTCTTGTCTCTTGCTTAAAAAATAAATATGAAAAAAAAAAACAGCAATCGGAATTGGACCAATTGCTTGTAATACTTCAGCAATTGGAAACAGCCATGAAAAATCAAGATCACTGCATCACTAACAAGAAATTCTGGGACTAGTGTATGGCAAAGAATTCAGGGTCAGGTTCGATTATTGAAGCTTTTAATCATCAGGATGTTGCCAGCTGTTGCAGATTTGGTATTCCTTAAGTTTTGGTGTGTGTTCTTAAATCTTTGCTTGTGCTCCTAACTTTTTGAAGTTGGGATCACCAGTGCTACCAAGTAAAAAAGTTAATTTCGAGCCCTGGTTATGGAGCCAAATGTCAAGAGGGACACAGTTCAAAGTTTCTTAACCATGTAAATGAGTTACTGGGATCTAGTACTGTCCAGCTTTGGTTAGTGAATTCTGCATTCGTAGAGAAGTCTATGTGTGTCGTGTCCTTCAGTGGCTGGTCACACTGATTCAATCCTGCCAGTGTCCTTCATTAATCAGTAGCTCCCATTCACTTCTGTAAACTTACGGAGCCCCTCAAGAGCTTACTACTCTTCAAATGTGGCTATAAAAGGCATTGTGTGTCTATTTAGATGTATTCGTCGGCCACTGTTCAAAAATACTGCAAAAGTACAAAAGGTCTTACAGAGTTCAGTTGGTTAATTATTTTGAGATGTCAAACATCTAAAATGCATTGCTAAGCATTTTTAGGAAGTTATCTTTACTGAAGCTGACTCATCCTTTCATAATTCAAGAGGAACTGAAAAAATACCTACTGAGCTATGTACCTTTTTAAAAAGTGAATATGCTTCTTGTGTTGTAATTTTAAGACAAATATTTATAAAAGGGCACCAGATTGGATCATTTACAGATCAGCAAGAAATGAGTCATTAAAACAAAACTCTCAAGTAACCATGTTGGTTTGAATTTAGTCGGGGACATGGACTAAATTGTAACATCTGCTCAAATCAAAGTAGTAAAATGATATGATTTCAGTTAAATGTGATATAAATTATTTTTTCTCATAATAGGATTGCCGTTTTTGTAATGAGAGCTTATTTTTGGAGGAAACAATATTTTATCCAGTATGTTAAGTCATTATGGGGAAAATGTACTGCATAATATTAGTGACCAAAATTATTAAAAATATGTAGTCTTTTATGCATTTATTTATTTTGCATTAGGTTGCAGATATGTCAGCAGAACTGCCACAAAGACGGTTTCAGAGTTTGAATATGATGCCCCATCCATGAAAACCGCTGTGCCAGGTCCAAAGTCTCAGGTACAGTCTCAGCATTTTTACACTTATGAGATTAGCACTAGATTGCTGTGTGATATGTCTCTGTAGGATATAACTTTTTTTTTTTTTGGTCCCACTTTATATTGTTACATCAAATAATAAGTACAATGTACTTATTGTGTTCATATTGTATTGCAAAACACTTTTGCTGCTATTGAGGTGGGATACGGGTAAGGTTAGGGACAGGTTTGGAGGTATGGTTAGGATTAAGGGTGGGTTAAGGTGTAAGAGATGGGTCAACTGTGTAATTATAAATGTAATTACAGAAATGAATTACAGATGTAATTACATGCAGGTATTTTTAAAACATACCTCCAAACTAGTCGCTTTTCGCAGTTTTGAATCAAAATATGTCGTTTATGTGAATCGTCTAGATCCGAAGAGTTTTTTTTTTCTTGCCCCCGCCCCTGCCCCCAGACCCCACTACAAGGGTCATATTTACAACTATGTCACCTTTTTGACCTTTTGTGAGTTTGTAGATATGTAAAATATAAGTACAATGTAAAAACATGTATGTACACAATAAGTGCATTGTACCAAATGATTCATTTAAATGTAAGTACATAGTTGTTAAGGCCACTTAATATAAAGTGGGATCTGCTTCTTATTACTTTTTTTCCCAAACATTTTTGAAATAACTAAATAAATAAATATGAATGAATACAAATGGAAAAATGTATGTTGTGACCAAAAATAAGTGAGATTACTTCAAAGTAATTGCACTTTGCTTTGATAACACCTCTTTACGCACACATTTTCACAACCAACTTCATGAAGTGCATCCTTATAAGCTTTCCAAACAGTACTGAGGGAGTTCCCATGTATGCCTGACACTTGTTGGCTGCACTTCCTTTTCTATCCAGTCCAAGTTTCCATTTAGAAGAAAGAAAGAAACAAATATCGTAGTTTTGTAAAGTAATTGAATTTTATTGAATTGAATTTAAACTAATTTTATGCATTTAAGCACAAGCATATTTAAAATCATAAGAAAAATAATGTGTGTCCGTTCATTTATCTCATTCAACAGGAGCTGATGAGACAGCTCGGAGAGATTCAGGTGAGATAGACATGGAAATGAACTTTGGCATTGCTTAATCTATACACACACAAATGTACCTTAACAAACTTGTGTTATGCAATTAGATTGAGTTGGTTACATTGCCAGTGCCAATCAGGTGCAATTCTCTTAGTTTGTAGTTCCATAATGATTTAAGTATAATGAGTCACTTTTTCAGACTGTACCATACAAAACAAACAACTATATGAGAATGTGTGACTGCCCTAGATCAACAATATTACTTCTGATGTGACATCCAGCCATATTTCAGCCTGCCTGGATGTCTTCAGCTTATTGAGTGATGAATGTATTTTCGGGCAGTAATTTATCTGCTGTCTGGACTGGCTTCTTGAGGACAGTCACAGTCATCTTCTGACCGCTTTGCTGTGGATGAGCACATAGATGTGAGCTGACAGGCATCGATGGAGCTAATATCACAGATTCGTTACGCCTCAGCTCCTCTGCGTGTCTGCTGGCCGCTGTCTGTCTCCCTTGCAGCGTCTCCCATAAGAAGAGTCATAATCTATTCATCAGATGGGCTAAAAATAGATGCTGCATCAGGTTCAAAGCCACACGGGGAAAAACCACTTTCATTAGATAAAGCACCGCTGCTCATAATTTTGCGGTAATGAGTCACAGTGCGAATGATGCCCTACTTCTGCTTTTTCAGTTGTACTGTACATGTGGATCCATTAAAGGAATAGTTCACCCATCCAAGATGACGATGAGCTTATTTATTCATTGGAACAGATTTGGAGAAATTTAGCATTACATCACTTGCTCACCAGTGGATCCTCTGCAGTGAATGGGTGCCAAACAGCTCCAAACAGCTGATAAAAACATAAACATAATCCACAAGTAATCCACACAACTCCAGTCCATCAATTAACATCATGTGAAGTGAAAAGCTGCATGTTTGTAAGAAACAAATCCATCAAGACATTTTTAACTTTAAATAGTTGCTTCCGAAGTCCTCTATTCATAAAATTGTCCAGTAAAAAAAATATTATCTAAATCAGCTGAGAAATATGCACAGATTAAGCACTGTTTATAAGTGATAACAGTCCAAAACAGTTCTAAACAAATATATCAATGGATTTTGGTGATGGACTTTTTCACTGAAGGAAGCATTATTATGGATTCTGGACTGGTATTTTAGCCATAAGGGACGGTATAAAGTTAAAATGCTTTAATGATGGATTTGTTTCTTACAAACATGGACTGAAGTCATGTAGATTACTTGTGGATTATTCTGATGTTTTTATCAGCGACTGATGTAATGCTAAATTTCTCCAAATCTGTTCCAATGAAGAAAAAATCTTCTATATCTTGGATGTCCTGAGGGTGAGAAAATTTACAGCAATTTTTTTAACTTTTAGGGTGAACTATTCCTTTCAAGGGAATATATTTTACATTTTTGTTGGATTCATTTTTGTTTTCCAGATGTTCACCCTCTTTAGCCATTCAGTGACGTGGAGCTGAAGCTCTGCCAAAAAAAAAAAAACATTCAGGTATGCAGATGGAGCACAAATCATCTTGATAGCAACATTCAACTCTACTTGTCTCTTTGTCTGCAGAATGTTGGAGCAGTTCATTTCTTCTGCAACTATGAGGAGAGCAGGGGGAACTACCTGGTGGACGTGGACGGCAACCGAATGCTGGACGTGTACACACAAATTTCCTCCATCCCCATCGGTGAGCTCAGTCAATAAGCAGATCTCTTTAACAACACATGCATCCCTCTACAGACAACTGACATAACTAAAACAGGAAATCAGACATCTTTAAATTAATGTTGTTCTCTGGATTTAGTACTTGCTTAGTGTCAGACTCAGACGTGTTTTGTACCACTTCAAGGTATAGTTTACCCTAATAAACCCATTCAGTCACCCTCACATCATTCCAAACCTGTATGACTTTAGATTTGATGTGCTTTTATTTCTGTAAAGTTTTATTTTTATTTCAGTTGTAGTTTTAGTAAGTACTTCAGCTTAAATGAAAATTGGAAATGTTGCCTTGGCAACTAATTGAAATAGAATATTAAATGAAAAATGTTGACTTATTTTCCTGCTTTATTTCAGTTACTGAAAATGATTTTTAATAGTTTTAGTTAATAACAACACCGTACTAGTGATGAAAAGGATCTTAAGATTCACCATATATTGTTGTCGCTGTGGCTACTGTGTTGTTCAGTAAATGTGAGCTGTGTCCTGTGGCTTTGCATGAAGGCACGTTTGTTGTGGATGATTAAAAGTGACAGGAACTGAGGACTTCCTGTGAGGATTGTCTGTACGGATCCAACAAACAGAACTGAGAGGCCGAAAGAGCACCTTTCCTCTGTCTGCATGTCATTGGTTTGGTCCGTTAGCTTACTTACATTTAATCAGCCTCAACAAATTGAGTGAAGCTACTGTCTCTCAGAGATGCCTTCAGGTGCTGACTCAGATTTAATGAGCTTTGATTTCCTCCTGTATCATTTCAACAGAAGTGCATTATGGGATATTTTAGTTACATTAGTGTACAACCCCCACTCACCCGCAAGATTCAGAATGACAGACACATGAATACAAAAGGGATGTAATATTTTCTTCTTGACCAGTAAAGCAGCAAGAAAAACGAGTTTGTTTCCTTCATGCATAACGTCAACATAACCGCAATTCACCTGCGCTATTACTTAATATGTCTTAGTGAATATTTAATATCTAGAGCTCTCTGTGATCCTGGATCAGCCGCTGGACACATTTAGCTGTCAGTCTGCAAAACAGATCACTCTGCCACTTTTGACATTTGACAAAAAAATGTGAGAATTTATATTCAGATAAGTGAAACAGTGGGTGGAGTGTTATGCTAGCCTGTACTTGCTTGTCAAGAGTTCATATGAGGGTTATTCCTTTTCTGCAGTACATTTTGTACTCCGTGTAGAGTTAGGGCATTATTATGCTTGTAGTGTAATTAAAGGAAGTATTTCTATGAAAAGATATGCAATATTTTCTATGGCAAGAAAATCATAAAGATGGATATCAACATTATGGAAAAAGAAAAAAAAAAGAAAAAAAAGAGATCAAGTTCACCACTGCAAGTTCATTTTGATATTTTTATAACCTTTCTTTTGAAGTTTTGATAATATAATTCTGATTCCTTTAAATGTATATAACTTGATAAATTAAAATGGAGCAGACTAATACCGCAAAACATAATTATGGTATTAGTTAAGTAGTAAATTTACAGATAAAAAAATATTACTTATATAAATTTTTGTTTTTGAATTAAACATTGTTCCTAAGAAAACATGTATTGATTGAAATATGTTGATTAGGGGAAAGGAAAAAAATGAAGAAACCATGAAAAATTGTCCGAGCCAGAAATGGCAACATCCATTTAAATAAACCAAAAAGTTTATGATTTAAAATTCACCCCTATCTTCACTTGTTTGTGATTAGGCATGTAACAGTGTAAAGATTTCCTATCACGATAATTGCCAAAACACAGTATTTATAATCACAAAAAATATGTAAAAAAAAAAAAAAAAAGTAAATATGAACTTAACCCGATAGTGTCAATTATAACAATAAATCAGTCAGATAAAGAATAATTTTAAGCCATGCAAAATATCTTCCAGTTAGACCTATCTTCTAAGTTAGACTTCTCCTAACATGCGGACATGCTGAAAAACAGTAACACATTGCACAAAGAATATGTACAAAGTAAACAAATCTTTCAAACAGATTAAAGTGCAAAAGAACAGAACTCTTAAAAAAACAGCATAAAACTGAATACAAAAATCTAACTTTTTTTTTTTCAGATCAATATACATTTTTATGCAGTGTGCATAGTGTTGTAAATTTTGACTGGTTAATGGAAAAGAAGTGGCTGTGCATTCTACAAATCTAAACATTTCAGATAGTAAGGTCCCCAGAATTCCCCAGTATTTTAAAGTGTCCACAATAACAATACCTTACGTTCATTACTGCAACATATCATATTACCTGTTATCTATTTGTGATATAATAATAAAGGAAACTACTATAAGTTAATATTTAGGAAATATTATTTACATTTTTAGCCAAAAAATATGATGATCCTGCATAACAGGAATGACCCATGCGGTAACAGCTGGTGTTTTCCCACAAACGCATCCATTTTTATGGACAAATGCTTGTTTCAGTTGACCTCGCAGGACTAGAAGAGCCAGATGAATGCAGCGGTTGGAACAGTATGAACTCAGCATTCAAACTACTGCTCTGATTCACTGCATAGTGAGCTGTAGGCATGCAGTTTTAAAAGGTTGTCATCTTTATCATTCTGCCTTTATACATGTCTAATTTTTGAGACATTTTTCTGAAAGATTAATTAGATACTGACAAGTATTTGTGTAAATTATTTATTATTATTATTAATAATAATAAAAATCATGCTGAATGTCATGACGGTGATGGATGTATCAGCTGAGTTCAGCTTTCTCTTTTTTTTTTTTGATAGAAGGGAACAACACAGTCCAGCAATGTCATGCCAGATAGCTAGAATTCATTTTCTGCCATAATTTGTCTGTTGTATGTTCAATTGGATAGGCTGACAAAAATATTATAATGCAGTGACACCTACATCGTCATCGCATCTCGTGGGTCGCTGATAAGGCTGCCTGAAGCACACCTAAAATTCGAATGCAACGTTTTTGCATTCGAATGTGGATTTTTATTTTAAATTCGACGAATATTCGAAATTTTATTTTATTTTGACAGCCCTAGTGCACAGTGACCCCAAAAAGTGTTTTGGACACTTAAGCCAGACTTTAAATAAAGGGTTGTCATTGCATTATGTAATAAAATATCAAACAATTATTTAGGTTCACTTCATAGGTAAAACATTTCACAAAATTAAGTTTGTTCATTTGAAATAAAACAGTAGATGTGCTGTTCAAAATATAGACATGTGGACACTTTCTTGAAGGGAATTAACTTCATACATCTATGCTACAAATGACTTTGCACCAAGTAGTTCTGAGAAAAGCCCTAGCATTGTTTTCCACTTGGTTTGATATTTAGTTATACATTACAATGACATTCATAAATATTTAATTGTGACTTTATTAAGTGTCCAGATACTTTTTGGGGCTTTGTATGATAGTATTTATCTAACTTATTTATCTAACACTCATACTCAGTCTACACCTCAAATTTGCACATAATATACAGTACCTGTACATACAAAAACTGTCTATTGTAATATACCTGCACATGCAACTGTCAATTTATATATTTTTATTCCTTATTTACTTGTTCTATTCTTTATTATCTGTGTTTTTTGTTTTGTCACTGTCATTCTGTTACACTCTGTGCTGTCACCTGTCACGAAAACAAATTCCTCGTATGTGTAAACATACCTGGCAATAAAGCTCATTCTGATCTGATTCTGATTCTGATAGTAGCAGTATCAGAGCCGTGCTCACTGCCGCTGTACTTATTTGGAGCGACTATATCAATCATCCACCTAAACTCACTAGCATGCAAATACGCTTTGTTGCCTTCAGCTCCAACTGACAAATGTCAATTTGACAGGTCAATTCAATTTCTTTTTGTTTTGGTTAGTTTGTGTGTTTACACTGTCGAATGAATCTCTGTAGATATCGCACTACATGTGTAATGAACAGACTGACAATATTTTCGATCTTCCTTTCTAGGTTACAATCATCCAGCCTTAATTAAAGTGATGACCAATCCAAATAATGTGGTGAGTCCTGATCAGACTGTGAAATCATTGCTTGTGTGTATTTATAGACTGTAGAATGGAAATTAGATTTGCAGTGATCTGTCAGACAGAGCAGCATGAGTGTGACAAGTTGAGAGATTTTAAAAGGCGTAGTGCACAGGATATGATTTTTACATTTCAATGGCTTACTTCAGTTTGCCCTTACAGAATTAAATTCACCACTTCCTTTATTATACACTACTGTTCTGAAGTTTTATCATTTATTTGATAAAAAATTACAGTAAATGGTAATATTGTGAAATGTTATGACAATTTAAAATATCTGTTTTCTATTTTGATATACAGTGGGTACGGAAAGTATTCAGACCTCCTTATACTGAGCAAAGGGTCTGAATACTTAGGACCATGTGATATTTCAGTTTTTCTTTTTTAATAAATCTGCAAAAATGTCAACGATTCTGTGTTTTTCTGTCAATATGGGGTGCTGTGTGTACATTAATGAGGAAAAAAAATTAACTTAAATGATTTTAGCAAATGGCTGCAATATAACAGAGTGAAAAATTTAAGGGGGTCTGAATACTTTCCGTACCCACTGTATTTTAAATGTGATTTATTATTCCTGAATTTTCAGCAGTCATTACTCCAGTCTTCAGTGTCACATGATCCTTCAGGAAACATTCTAACATGCTGATTTGCTGCTCAATAAACATTTCTTATTATTATCAATGTAGAAAGCAGTTTACTACACTTAATATTTTTTTAGAAACCACAATACATTTTTTCAGAATTTTTTAATGGAATGTTCAAAAGAACATTTATGTGAAATAGAGACATTTTGTAACATTATAAATGTATTTACTGTCACTTTTGACCAATTTAATTCAACCGTACTAAAGTCAAAGTATTAATTTCTTTCAAAAGAAATCTCAAAATCTTACTGACTCCAAACATTTGAATGGTAGTGAATACACACTTAATATTAGTAGTCTTTTTCAAATGGAAAACAGACCAAAAACTTTGATTACTCATCCTGCGCTACACAGATTTGTATTTAATTAAAAGCTTTCCAGAAGGAGAATGTCCCAGCCACTTATACAACCTGTAACCTACTAGCGAGTATCCAATCATGTTCATTTCTGTGACATTACTAAAGGCTATTGGCTATTATAAAGAAAGACATGTCTGATCTAACATGCATGTTTGACCTAAACTTCCTGTTTCAATAAGAACATGCATAAATATAGGAAGGAAATACTTATATTGGGCACTTAAAACATTTTTACGAAATAATTAAATTCTTAGGGTCACTGTTTCCTTCAGTAAATCCTTTCTGTGTGAATCTTTGTTTTCACAGAGTGCATTTGTCAACCGTCCGGCGCTTGGTATTCTGCCACCTGAGAACTTTCCAGACAAACTGTTCGAGAGCCTGCTGTCGGTGAGTGTTGATGGACTGAAAGAAACACAAATAAAGCATCTATCTATGTCTCTATGAATTATTGCTGATTATGCTGAAACGCTTCACAAGTAGAAAGTAAGGACTACATTTTATCTGGATCTGCCCCAATAATGAGGCAACTTCAACCTTTTACTTGAAAAACAGCTTGTGTTCGGCAGTTATAAAACAGCTCTTTGGGGTTCTCTTAATCTTGATAACATCCTTTGCAGATATCATAATGACTCTCTTAAGTAAGTGCACTCTTTTTCACATTGGCCGGAAGTGACTTGCTGTTTATTGTAGTGTGGAGTGCTGTGAATGACTCTTTCTTCAACATCAGATTGCCCCCAGTGGGATGAGCCGAGTACAAACCATGGCCTGTGGATCCTGCTCCAATGAGAATGCTTTCAAGAGCATGTTTATCTGGTACAGAGTGAGTGGACTTTCCTCAGTTTGCTCTTGCGCAGACTTGATGTGTCATGACGACCCTAACAAAGCACATTTGCTTTATAAACTGTTGGTGTGATATTGGTTGTATTCTGGCAGTAATAATACACATGGAGAAGTAGTCTTTCTGAAACTGTTGGAGAAAAAAACTCACCGTAGTAACTATAAAATATCAAAATAATAGTAAATATTATGATTTTTTTCCTAATATAAAATGTTTTGTTTTTTTTATAATAATTATTCTGATATTTTCATTGGTGTTATTTAAGCATGTAATGATTAACCGTGGTCGAAAATCGATTCAAATATGTGACGATTCAAATCGGTTGAGATGCCAAACAAATCGCGATACAATTGGAGTAGGAGTTTATATGAATTTATCTCTGAGGGGAACTGACTGTCTTTAGAAAAGTTTACGCGGTATTTTCTTTTCATCTGGCCTCTGAACAATGCATATTAAAGGGGTCATATGATGCAATTTCAATTTTTCCTTTCTTGTAGTATAGTTTCACAAAACTAAAGTCAGACCATTCTGTTTTTGCATCAAATTTCGAAATCTAATCTAATTTAGATTAAAAACTACTCATGCTGCATGTATGCTGCATCTTTGTTTGGATCATGATTAAAATCCTCATTTTAAATGGAAAGAGCACAGACAAAGCCTTAGTTTGTTCATATTGAGAGATTTCTTTTATTTGTGATACTTGTTTCATTTGGGGTTTGTTTTAAAATTTAAATTTAGTTTTGTTTTATTTCAATTTGACAAAGAAACGTGCAGCAATAGCCTAATAAAACGACACCTTTTCATTTACTGTATAATGTCTTCAATCTCATTTTGTACAAAAAAAAAAATCGTGAGAAAATCGATTCGTGAAATCAAAATCGTGAGTTGAGTGAATCGTTACATCCCTAGTGTTATTGCTTACATTTATATTAGATTTTTTCAGATTACTTTATATTAGGGCTGTCAATTGATACAATTAATCACAACAAAATATGATATAATTGCACAAAAACAAAACACAATTCCTAATTGTAGGTTGACTGAATAAGAAAAACTCAGCAAATATTGCTATGTCTGATTAATTTCTATTAATTTAGCATATCATGATTGACAGCCCTAATTTATACACATGAATAACTCTTAAATCACCTGATATCTAAAACTTGTTTTTATTGGCTTCTAGAATAAGGAGAGAGGATACGCCAGCCCCTCTGAGCAGGAAGTCGGCACTTGCATGATCAACCAGGTTAGAAAGAAACACTACACATAAGACTGTAGCTCCCAAAAACATCATTTTGTTTTTTGCAGACTAATCTCTTTTTTTTTTTCTCTGTATCAGAGTCCTGGATGCCCAGATTTGAGCATCTTGTCTTTTATGGGAGCTTTCCATGGGAGAACTATGGGCAAGTGTCTGTTGATTTATGAAAATATCATTGAAAGATGTGTCTGATGCAGTTTTCCTAGAGTATGTTTTGAGCAGATTCTGACATTTTGAGGGATTTGACCTAGCCTGCATACAGTACATTTGCCTTATATTTGTTTGCCTTTGCAGCTATTTGTATCGTTTGACTTCATTTGAAAAACAAAGAAGCCTGGCTGTTTTGTTTTAAGTGGGACACCCATCCTCTAATGTGTGTGCTATTGGATTACAGGTTGCCTGGCCGCAACACATTCCAAAGCTATTCACAAGCTGGATATACCTTCCTTTGACTGGCCTATTGCACCCTTCCCTAAGCTGCAGTACCCTCTGGAGGAGTTTGTGAGGGAGAACGCCCAGGAAGAGGCCCGCTGCCTGGAGGAGGTCAGAGATGTCTTACAACTTTTCTCCACATACTAAGTAAAGACGTATTCCGGGTTCAGTACAGGTTAAGCTCAGTCAACAGCATTTTTGGTTGTATCTCCTTTTCTTTAAAAGCAAAAATCTGCTAAAGTGAGGCACTTACAATGGAAGTGAATGGTGCCAGTCCATAAATGCTAAAATACTCACCGTTTTAATAGTATCACCGCAAGATATAAAATTTATTTAAACAGCTTTTACTATAGGTACTGTCACATTTACCATTGTTTGGCAAAATTTTATGTCCGATTTTCAGTGATGTCAGTAGGAATGTGTGTGATCAAGAATTTTGCATATGGGCAAAAGATTTAAAAACAAAAAACAAAACAAACGAGAGACAAATTGAAATAATTTTTTGTGGTAATCAACATAATGCTACAAATGCTATTGATTGGTTAACTGTTAAGCTACCGGGGTTTAATAATTATGTTCAATGTTATTTTTGTAGTATTTATATAATATTACAGTTTTATTAAAATTATTAATTCGCTTTTAATAGTTAATTTGTTTTTTTTCATTTTAATTGTAGTTTAAATTATATTAATTTAGTTATGTGCTTTTGTCATTTGTATTAGTACTGTTTAGGTTTCATTTATTTTTATTTCAGTTTCAAGTATCCTAACAAACCATACATCAATGGAAAGCTTATTTATTCAGCTTTTAGATAATGCATAAATCTCAATTTCAAAAAACTGACCCTTATGACTGGTTTTGTGATCCAGGGTCACATTTATGAAACACCGACTGATTGCTGCGTTTCAGTGCACCTTCTGCAAAGTGTTACCTACTTCATCACATACAAGTGAGATATTAATATATGTGTGTGTCAGGTTGAGGATCTCATCGTGAAGTGGAGGCAGAAGGGCAGACCAGTGGCTGGCATTGTGATCGAGCCCATCCAGGCAGAGGGAGGGGACAACCACGCTTCTCCTGATTTCTTCAGCAAACTGCGAAATATTGCACGCAAGGTGAAGCGCTTTTCAGGCTAACTGTTTTCTATAATGCTTCCTTATCTTCCATGGTCGTCTTTGTTTGTCAGATCTGTGCTTTGAAGTCGTTTGAGATACATACTCCAGTTATAAATAGCTAAGATGAGGCTCTTTGAACTGTCCAATAAAAAAGACACTCAAGACTCTGTAGGAAGTTCTTCTTATCTGCTCTAATTTGCATCCCTCTGAATGAGATAAGCCAGGAGACAAAAGGAAATAATTTAATATGGTTGTTTTATGCAGAGAAAAGAGGCTCTTTTAGTAATTGTGATAGAGTCCACAGTCTCTGAAAAGCTCGGGACGTGTTCACTTCAAATGGAGCATAGCAAAGTGCAATGGCCGTGTCCGGCGGGTGTTGTATGCAGGCTGACAGGACTGGTTTTGACAGAGAGTGAGCTGACAGATGTTTCTCTGTGTCTGGTTCTTTCAGCATGGCTGTGCGTTCCACGTGGATGAGGTGCAGACAGGTGGAGGAACAACAGGCAAGTTCTGGGCCCATGAGAATTGGGGCCTGGACGACCCTGCTGATGTTGTCTCCTTCAGCAAGAAGCTGCTGACAGGAGGATACTACCACAGGGATGAACTGCAACCAGACAAAGTAAGAGCTGTCACTGCTTCCTCACGGCGACGCAAAATCATTCCCAGTAATTGTCCCCAACTGGCTGCTTTATCCATTTCCTAAGTGAGTCATCGTTGATGAATAGCATTATAATGTGTTTGAGTACCAGATGATTGTTCTGCAGTTTCACAATCTTTGTTTGTCTAAATGATTCCATGTCCTTGGATGAGGTTCATAGCTGTATGGAACTGAGCAATCACGCCCCCTACTGTTGAAAACGTGTTTCTTCCTGTACAGTAACCTTCTATGGTGCTGCATTATCTCAATTAGAAACAAAAAAATAGCTTGGGCTACATCACACAAAAGATAGTTTGGGCTACGTTTATTTAAATGACTAGAAAAGCTAAATTACAAGAATAACAACTGATTGAAATGAAGACCTGACAATTGACAATAATATTGCATAATGCAAATTTTGGTTGCAAGAAGACTTGAGCATGAGAACACTTTAGTTACACAAGTAAAATAATCATTTAAACTGACATGGCTGTATGCACCTCAGCCCTACAGAATCTTCAACACATGGATGGGAGACCCCTCAAAGAATCTGTTCTTATCGGAGGTGCTTAATGTGATCAGAAGAGAGAACCTTCTGGAAGAGGTGACGCGCTCAGGGAAGGCCCTTTTACAGGGCCTTTACGCACTGCAGGTACGGCCACCTCACATGACTGATTCCTCACAGGTGCCACAGCTCAACACGAGATGCTTTAAAACCATTAATGGTTCTATTATGTGGACGTTCTTTGTTCATCTGAGGGCCGACCTCATAACATCTGCTGCCAGAGGGAGAACCTGAGCCTGTCATCGATCTTGTCAGCGTAATGAGTGTTTGTTTTGAGGCTGTGGTTGTGGATTGATGATACCTTTCACATTGTGAGCTGTACATTCGTTTAACGTCTCGCTGCTTCCCGTCACGTAGACCCAGTACCCTCATATCCTGAGCAGAGCCCGTGGCCAGGGCACCTTCTGTGCCATAGACGCCTGCAATGATGCCACACGTGACAGTATCATGCTTAAGGCGAGGAACAAGGGTGAGCTGTGGCCACTTTAGCCATCACACGTGAGGTTGGCAAGAGAATTAAAAGAAACTGTAAATTCCTGGCAGGACTTTTTATGGAGGAGAAAAAAAAAGTTATTTTAATAAGAGGATTATTTATGTTTTTGTTTTCTTGCATATCAGTGACAGTTCGTTGTGTCTTTTGCAGCCACAGATTATTGCATAGTTATCTAATATTAAAGGGATAGTTCACCCAAAAATAAAAATTTGATGTGTAGCTGCTTACCCCCAGGGCATCCCAGATGTAGGTGACTTTGTTTCTTTAGTAGAACACGAACTACGATTTTTAACTCAAACCGTTGCAGTCTGTCAGTCTTATAATGGACCATGTGATATTTCAGTTTTTCTTTTTTAATAAATCTGCAAAAATGTCAACAATTCTGTGTTTTTCTGTCAATATGGGGTGCTGTGTGTACATTGAGGAAAAAAAATTAACTTAAATGATTTTAGCAAATGGCTGCAATATAACAAAGAGCGAAAAATTGAAGGGGGTCTGAATACTTTCCGTACCCACTGTATAAGTCTGCGATCTGCCGTAAAGCAAGAAGAAGACGCGAAAGCGCTCAGGACATGCTCAGGACAGTTTGGACATTGCAGTAAATCAGAGGTAAAAAAACGATATAAATACTGTTCAGTTTCTTGCACAGACCGATCGTTTCGTGTCTTTACACATCAATGTATCGTCACGAGCCGCAGGGTTTAATTTGGTTTTGTTTGTGTATGTTTTTATGACTTTCAAAGCCGTGATTCCCATTCACTTCCATTATAAGACTGACAGACTGCAAAGGTTTGAGTTAAAAATATTTTTGTTTGTGTTCTACTGAAGAAACAAAGTCACCTACATCTTGGATGCCCTGGGGGTAAGCAGATAAACATACAATTTAAATTTTTGGGTGAACTATCCCTTTAAATTTTTTTAAATGTATATCCATATATACAATAATAACAATATTGTTATTATTATTACTGTTATTAGTTATTTTTAAATACTAATAATGTATAATCATTTTATTATTAGTAGTAGTAGTATATCAGTGCATGCATTCTCATATCTCAAAAATATAACATTAGTATTGTTATGAATATTAATATTGTTTTTGCAATCGGAACATTACTAATTAAATTACAAATTAACTATGCAGTACACTATTACTACTACTACTGTGATTTTTGTGATTACTGTTAACTTTTTTTATTGTTAATGTGCTTGTATAATAATAATAATAATAATCACTTTCAATTATTATTTTATAATTCTGATAATTATTATCTGATTAATAAAAATTATGATCATTAATCGCTACAACAACAGTAATAATAATATGAATTATCATTAGTATTATTATTGTTGTTGTTTTGAATCATGATTATTATTAATACTACATTTATATTCATAATAATAATTAAGTTACACATAAATAAGTTAACTTTAGACTTGGTCCTCACCATGTAAGATGCAGTGGCTTTATGGGATACTATGTTCTCTATCTCACCAGGTCTGTTTATGGGTTCCTGTGGAGAAAAGACCATCCGTTTCCGTCCCGCGTTGGTCTTCAAGGAGTACCATGTCCATCAGCTCCTGAACATCCTGAACAACATCCTGGCTGAGCATAAATAGAGTTCTGGCTGCCAGGTCGGCCTTGATTACGGAGCACATAGAGGTCCAAGCCCCCTCAAGGGTTTATACCAGCCTGTCACAATTAATTGGTCACTGTCTCTCTCTCTCTCTCTTTACATTCGCTCTCTTCCTGTCATTACTTATTAAGAAGGATAGAAGTCTGTTTTCGATCTCTGTTTATTTAGCCGGCACAGATTCGGCCCTGCCACCATATTTCTTGTCTTTTACTGAGGGTGGACAGGATTGCAGGATTTAGCCCACTCAAATTCAAATTACATATTTAGGTAAATCTCTCCTGATGACACAGCAACTTTTGTGAATTTGTGAACTGTAAGGTCCAACAAGCCGCAAGTCAGTTGAATAAAGCACAGACCACAGAGACAGAACAGGATTTCTAATCGCAATATTTCTTCTTATATCCTTTTATGTCAAATAAAAAAAGTCCTTAGCGTTTGGAAGGTAACATGAAAAGATTAGTGATCTAATTGTGTATGACACCAAAACTACAGAAAATATTTTGTGGAGATAAAATCGAACTATTTTAGTATCTATAGAGAAATGGCTGCATTTGAAATGTCTATAGTGTAATTTTGCATGATGGAAGAATGAATTTACAGAGTACCTGAATATTATGATCCTCTCTGAATTAAAAGCATGTGTGAAAGATAAATCGTAGAAGCAGTGTTGGCTTGATTGCGTCCTGAGGCACTAGAGAGAGCCAAGCTGGAAAAAGTGAAGGTGCAGAGAACTGTAGAGCCTCTATTCCCATTTTAATAGGACATCTGTTGAGATGAAACCCTTCAAGCAATCAGCAAGTCCCTTTATTGAGGTGGCTGCTTTACTGTATCGTTGATCATTGTCATTACTGTGACGCAAGGTCTCTTTGTTTGAATCCCGGTGAGGTACATGAACGTAATGTTGCCAGCACAAAACATTTAAAGCACAACCTGGTGTGGTAACGGGAGGGCTGACATTTTCTACGATCCTACAGAATTAACAGGGCCATAAATCTGTATTTTCACAGCCAAATGTCCACCTGATCTAGCAATAGAAGTCTGTCAGGAAGCATGTTTGAAAAGCACAAGCTTGAGGCCGCTCGGCTTAGTGTCCAGCCCCTGCTCAGGAGAACATGATCCCCTCATGTTTCTCATTACAGGCCATGTAAGAAAAGGTATACTGTTGCGCTGGATAACAACTACAAGGTCATCTTCACTTAATGGTTATCACAGCCTGTAAACGATTATGATCTTCGGGGTGATTCTCCTCTTCCAGTTGCTCTGAGCTTCAGCTTGGTTTGTTTTAATCATCTTTTCCTTTTCAGACACTTAAACCCCAGTATGTACTTACTGTAGTGAGATTATGTAATGCTCATTGTGTAAGTTTTGTTTGTGAACACCAACCCCCAAATATTGTTTCCACCTTGTTTACAGCCGCATCGGAATCAAGTTCCTTATTTAACTGACATTAACACATCAAATATTAATATGTGCGAAATCACACCCTCTCTAACACAGTGTGTTATTCTTTTGTGATATTGTGTCCCATATGTTAGTGTAATATAGAAATGTAATTCATGTTGTTTTGGATGCCTTTAAACATTCTTTTAATGTTGTGGACAGGCAGCGTGCAGAAAGGCCGCAGCGATCCGATATGTGTCTATCTGTACTCTGCAAAGTCAGTATTTAATTGAAAAATGTGTATTATTGAAACATACTAACAATTATTTAAAAAAAAAAATACTGCATATGTTTACAGTTGTGTAGTACAGTTAGAAAGAAATTATTGATGTAATTTCTACATAAAACCTAAATGTTGTCTGAGGAAGTTATAAAATAAATCTGACATTTTAATTAATCTTGTTTTTTCTTGAATGTCTTTGAAGCAAAATGACCAAGAAACATGTGCACATGAGAAATGATCAAAGTGATATATTTTGACAATGTAGACACAGACAATTTTTTTTTTTTCAGTGAATACATATTTTAGCTATTTAGATAATGCATTAAGGCTTATTGTTAAGAGTGCAGTCAGTTCTTAAGAGCATTCAAATCAATCAATGATGGATAGGGTAAGTATAACTGACTGTTGTTCATTCCACATTATTAACCACAAACCCAATAATAGAGAATTTTAAACAAACTCCCTTCCTGAGACCAAAGAAAGGGAGGGAAAAACTGAATATTTTTATATTTTTCTTGGAATTGTGGCGTCATGTCACAGCACTTAAAGGCATTAATTCATTCAGACCCGTTCCCATCCCACCCAAACCTCCAGAAAGGAACAGAAACCCATTTTGACATAACTATCACACCGTTCAGAGTTAGAGAGCATCTCACGATTTAACCACCGCTCCAGACCAGGTCTCATGTTTGGTGCCTGGCACTAAATGAGTGATGGTCACATCCACGGCCTGGATCTTCTCATGTTTGGGTGGAATAGAGCAGATCTTGTAGCTAACTTCATCTCCTTCCACAGGCACATATTCACCCTCAACGCTGTGGGAATAATGGAGATCATCAACAAAAAATTAAATGTGTTTGCTTGCTGGATTTAGACAAAGGTGTTTAAAAGTGTATCACATGGAAAACAGACTGCTTATTATTGTATGCAGATATATTAAAAGATCAGATTGAAATTCTAAATCAAAAATGGCATGAAAACATCTGCTGAATGAAACATCTGAAAAGGAACATTTTGGAGCAAAAGCTGTAAAATTAATTTCAGATAAAGTGCACACTAAGACCAGACATGTTGGTGACAAAATAAAAATGGATCCCATTTTAAGTATTTTTTTTTTAAGTAACTTTTCTCAGTCCCTAAAATTACTTTCCTGTTGCAATAACCAAGGCCACAAGGGTAGAAATAACTAATAATTATAGTTTTTAATTTTAAAATTAAAGTGTGTGTGTGTGTGTATATACTGGTATTCACGATGTTATGGGGACCCCCACCAAGTAAGTAATAACAGTAAATTTTGACTGTGTGGGGACATTTTTAGGTCCACATAAGGAAAAAAGCTTATAAATCATACAGCATCTAGTGTTTTGAAAATCTAAAAATGCAGAAAGTTGTGTGTGAGGGTTAGGGGATAGAAAATACAGTTTGTACAGTATAAAAACCATTGTGTGTGTGTATTTTTTTTCCTACTGAATAATCTGTTAAATATAAATAACATAAATGTGTTATGTATGGGTGACCCCGAATAGTCGACGATTCAATGCTTCGATAGGAGGATTCGACTACCAATCTCACAGTCAAATATTCGCAGGGGTGTTATGATCATGCCATTTTGGCTATATGGGGGTGCTCAAATGTCTGATTTCACATAGAACTACCGGTTTTCTCCCAAAGTTAATATACAGCCTATTAAGATAACGCTGTAAATAAGAATCTGAAAAGAAAGAAGCTTTAAATAAAAAAAAAAGTGTCTCACACGGCTCAGGGGGGTGAACAAAGGCCTTCTGTAGCGAATCGATGCGTTTTTGTAAGAAAAATATCCATATTCAAAACATAATAATCACTTTAATGTAGCTTGCGCTCACTGTTGTACACTGGAAGCAGCTCCGGGCGGATGACGTCTGAGGTCAGTGCTGCGCATGCACCAGTGAGTCTCGTGAAAACAAACGTTTGTTAACAGGCACACATTTATAAACTGTAAAAAGTAAAAAGCTACAATTTGAGACCACTCATCACGTAACTGTAAGAGTAAATAATAATTATAATAATGATAATAATAATAATAATAACTATGCACCCGTTTGTAAGGAAGCTTGTAAATTAACTAATTTCTCTATCCAATGCTGTCACGTCACGTGACAAAAGAACAAACGATTTGAAAGACTCAAAAGATGAACTAATCAATTCTCTTTCTGGCTCAGACTGCATTGGTTAAGTTTATGGGGCTGCCAAGTGATGAACGAACGACTCAAACACGAAGACTTGTCAGATTCGTTCATTTTGCTGAATGAGACTCAAAGGTCCGAGTCGGTAAAATGATCCGAACTTCCCATCACTAATGGCAACACTATCAATGCCTAGCCTGTGGTGGTCAGGCGGTACAGCGGTCACGTGGTACAAGTCGTAGCTCTCAGAAAACAAAAGAGTTCTATGAGGACGTGAACGCTTTTCACAATTTGGAATCTTGTAATTACGGGAATTCCAATATCGCGTGAACGCACCTTAACTATGGCTGTCGAATGTTTGACTTGACTCTTGTTCATGTATTTTGCCCCCCGCCCCCAAACACATGATTCAACTATCAGTCGATTATCGGCAAGATTCGACAATTCCATTTCGACTATGAAAATCCTTAGTCGGGGCCACCCCTAGTGTTATGTTTTCTTAAGTTTCCTCACAGAATTTGATTTTATGTAGTTGAAGACATTAATAAATCTAGAATTAAGCAAATATCCAAAAGGGAGCAAACACTCATCTGCAGGTTTCCAATATTCTGTAAAATCCATAAAATCCTTTGATGTTCTGAATGTTTGAAAAGGGGGCAGCTGGCAAGTCTATCCGTTTTTCCATTGGTCAAACACACTTGATCGGAGAGAAGCCAGTCTACTGCTCTTATCTCTCATATTCAAGTGTTTAACTGAGCCCAAAACCTTTCACACATACACACACTCCACAAGTTTCTATTCCCAGAAGCCCCTCCTTCATGATCAGTTCAAATCCATCAACAAATAGACTGGGAGCACTATCATTTATGATCTATGATTAGGAATGCATATTAATAATGATTTGTCTTTGCATCTACTCCACTGATAATCAAGGTGTTGTTGATACGTGTGATTCCGAGTTAACTAGGATTGTTGTGGAATGTGTGTTGGCTTGGATGTAGGAGCATGAAATCTGGTTGAAGGTTCAAGATGTTTGCCCAGTGAACTCACTCAGATATGTGCACAAAGACGTCATTGCCTCCATCTGATGGCGTGATGAAACCGTGCCCTTTGGAACGTGAAAAGCACTTGCAGACCCCAGTGAAGACCGGCCCCTCAGCTGCACGCGCTGTACTGGAGTGGTAGAGAGGAAAAAGTATTATTCAACAATCTATATATGGGTGAAGTTCACAGAAACATGCATCAAAAATACAGTAAAAACAGTAATATTGTGAAATATTATTACATGTTAAAAGAAGTGGTTTTATTTTAATATTTTAATATATAATTAATTCCTGTGATGCATAGTTTAATTTTCAGCAGCCATTACTCCAGTTTTCAGTGTCACATGATCCTTCAGAAATCATTCTTGTATGAAGATTTGGTGCTCAAATATTATCAATTACTATTTGTGCTCCATGATTAATAATGGTCCTTATTATTATCAATGTTGAAAACAGTTGTTTTTTTGTTTTTTTGCAGAGCAGCACTGATATGAAATAGAAATCTTTTGTAACATTATAAATGGCTGTATGGTCTCTTTTGCTCAATTGAATGCATCCTTGCTAAATAAAATAATATTTATATTTTTTCTTATCTTAATGAACCCAAACTTTTGAATGGTAATGTACCATGGTTTTCACAAAAGGGCCGGAGCAACGAGACAAAAACATGAAAACCCATTATAAATGAGGCATTTGTTGCATCCAGTGGGGACATATGTATTATAATGACTTGTACTGTCTTTTTACGCGTTGCAACGCGCCGCATGAACATAAAACCATGTCTGCATTTGTGATCGGAGAAATGACAAACATCAAGCGCTACTCTAGTCTACACTGCTCAAGACTCGCATTTCAATCATCAGTGGCAAATCCTTTAAATATAAAAAACGTACTTACAGTCAGAACAGCCGGCATTGTAGTCTACTCTCCCAGTATCAGGAAACAGTCCTCCATAAAATGTGCTGCACACATCTAAATATTTGGGTTGAACTGTTCTGGAACAGTGTTGTAAATAAAACTTGAAAACCAAAGTGTAAGAAAGTTGCGCACATCCCACAAACCCACACAGGGCTCAGGTGCAGGACAAAAAAAGTCAAACTATAGCAAAAATACAAACGTATTGTCCGCACACTGATGTAACTGCTCCATAAAAATAATTTATTGCTGCAACGTTTCCGAAACCTTGCAGCAATAAATTATTTTTATGGAGCAGTTACATCAGTGTGCAGGACAATACGTTTGTATTTTTGTAAATACAACTTAACCACTGATTTCTAGTCGTGTCCTCTTTTGGAAGGCCAAACAAAGTAGTTTCGCTTTCACAATGAAACACACAGCAGGCTAGAGTGAGCAGCGGCCGGCGGCTAGAGTGAGCGGAGGCTTGCGGCAACCACATGTGACGACCCTGGGCTTGACTCCGCTTCGTCCATGGTGAAAGCGCGAAGTTGATGTATTTCCTCAGCGACCAGCATGGAATAGCTCTAGGCATGACGAAGAGGATATCGTCCTCTTTTGGAAGGCCAAACAAAGTAGTTTCGCTTTCACAACGAAACACACAGCGTCTTCACGACATGGCGGCAGTAACAATACTACAGCGAGAATAAAAGTTACGCCTTCTTTCTTTGCGTGAACATTTGGGCGGCGTTATGCAAATCTTCCCACATCGTGACGTAGACATGTGGGGGCGTGTTAGAACGAGCCGTTTTAGGTAGGTGTGGTTGACTCTTAACTTTTATAAAGAATATCTCTTTGGATTTGAGACTTTAGTCTTTGCAACTTTACAGATCTTCTTTATGCACCAAGAGCTTGTAACACTTCAAAGAGAAAGGAAAAATTGAAATCGCATCATATGACCCCTTTAAGCAGCACAGCTGTTCACATTGATAAAAATAAGATATGTTTCTTGAGTACCAAATCAGCATATCAGAATGATTTCTGGATCATGTGACATTGAAATATCTATCTACACACACAAACACATGAAGGCATGAAATTAATTGGGGGCGACAGTGGATGGTTGTGGCTGTACTCACGCTGAGCAGGTGCGGTTGCGGCGGGTGGGCAGGGGGCTGGGAATCAGGTAGCCCCTCATGGGGGAGGGTGACCGGTCTCTTTGGCGGCAGGCAGGCAGACGCAGAGAGCTGGGGGAAACTGGAGAGACTGGAGACAGCGGGGACAGAGGAGGGGTGGTGGACTTCACAGGAGAAGATGCGCCTGAGGACATGCTGATGGTGGGACACTCAAAGGATACTGGGAAGAGAGAAACGGTGAGGAGCTTGAGCTTTTAGGACTGAAATAGGTTCTCTAGCAGCATTTCCTTAAAATACAAAGCATGACATTTGTCTGGATGTGTACATGAACTGAAAACAAAAACTGCAGAGTGACAAACGCAAAATTGCAAAATGGACTGCAGACCAGTGATGTGTTAATACACCAGCAGTAATGATGATAACAGTAATATTTAAAAAATGAAAAATTTGATGTCATGTTAATACTACACATACAGCAGTATTGTAAATAATCCAGAACCAGTAACAATCTGGTTGACACTCCAGCATAATAGGTGTCTGTGCTGCATCGTAATGCTGATTGCCACTCATCATAAAACAGAAAAAAAGATGACGACAATGCAGTTTGTAGCTTCTACTGCTGCACAAAATCATGTCAAAGAAGACCAGCAAAAACAAGACACTCTACCCACATTCAAAAAAAAAAAGTGGAGCTTGTCAGTGTGGGGATTTTTTAGATTCTGTCAAAAGAGTCTGCAGGTAGTGTCGACAGGTTATTTTTGTACGGCTGTGGTCACAAACTCTGTCTCTGGCTTCCTACATATATTACTCACATATAGTGTGATTCATTGTGATAAAACAAAGGTTTAAGAGGAATGTGACTGATGGCATTTTTTTTTTTTTTGGTTCCAAAATGTATATAGATATCATTATAACAATGAATTGTTATTGAAGTATTTTGGAGTATGATAATCGTGTAGCGAAAATCTGATATTGCGACAGCCCTAATTATACTATAATAAAAATTATTAATAAAAAACAATTTTTTGGTGACTTTTCTCAGCAAATATATTGATATGCAATTATGTCTTATTATCAATAAATCAGTATATCATCTGATTAATTTTATTATAATTTTTGATCTTGAAATATATAGATCTAATATGTTCATATTACACGTTTACAAGCAGCATATAAAAATCTACATTTTTAATAATCTCCACTGAAAAAGGTCCAAAATAAGCAATCACTGAGAAGATGTGGCACTCATCATAAAAAAGATACCTGATACCCATCCTTTTGAGAATTGTCCACTGCTCTGAAACAAAACATAATAATAATAATAATAATAATAATAATAATAATAATCATATACAGAACTGAATAGCAAGTGCTATAAAATAGTATGAGCCGCTAATACACGCATATCCCTGATAGCACACGTCTATTTGACGTCTGCATTTACATCTGGAAGATGTATTTTTTAGAGTGTTTGCTCATCTGCAGTACCTCTATAGGATGCTTTCTGTCAGATGTCAAATAGACGTTTATCAGATGTCTTTAAGATGTTTATGAATGTATGTAAAACTGACGTCTGTCAGATGCTTGTACACAGCACATCCTTTCCGGTTTAAGTGATCTTTAACAGACATCTTGGTCCACTGCGTCCACTGCTCTGAAACAAAACATAATAATAATAATAATAATAATAATAATAATAATAATAATAATAATACAATTCCTCAGATAAGCTGGCCTGTGACACTGACAGAGATCTCAGGTAACTCAGTATATCTAGTGTACACAGTAGTGGATGCAACACATCCTCAGGGAGCCACTTGACAAACCAAACTCTGGATGACTCAGATCAGCAATTAGTTACTTTACTCCTGAAACATGAGACATGAAGCCTGTTTTTTTTTCTCCTGCATCTAAATATACAGCTATAACATTCTATATCCAAGCTCTGCTGCATCTCTCACTTGCCTACTCATTTTAAATACACCTATTATAATTGTTAACTATTCATACAGTATATTATTCATAACAACTTTTAACAAACCAAATGTCAGCGGTACCCTTTGACTTTGTCTTTCAGCATCATTGATAACCACCAGCACTGAAACACAAGCCTCCAGTGGCCGCAGGCTGCAGCTCCCATTTGTGACAGTAATGTGATCGTTCACTGTTGATGATGCAAGCCACGTTTAGCCTTTCTTAGCCTTATCTGACTGATCCCCCCTGTCTGGGAAGATATTACAAAACTTGCACTGCTGGCAGAGCTTTTGGTTAAGCCACTAGAGGTTCAATCCCCCTAGTCGAGTAGGACTTGGTTGCAGAATCTGTTAACTGATGCACTGGTGCGCTGCATGTTAACATGAATGGGCCACGAAGGGTCAAGCATCCCTATTAATCACAGCAGGAAATGGCACCGAATGCATAATCGCAAACCCTCCCCCATTGTCATCGCTCTCCTCAGGGCCATTACAGCCCACACAAATCATAACAAGAGCGGGATGACCACAAAAGATGTTCCTTATGCGCAATAAAGCATATTAAATAATAATTTGATTATTTCAAATCGCACCCAAGAAGTGGCAAAGCGGCTTTCCGGACACTACCAGGCGGCTCTGCCATGGCAACACACTGCCAACGGTTCCCTCGAGAGATGCGAGATGAGAAAGGGCCCCTTTGTACCTTGGATTACATCACTGCAATTATAGCTGTCTGCTGTCAGGCTCAGAATGCCCCATAAACAGAAAATGAGGCCAGGGAGTGTTTAAAAGCCAGGGTCAATTATACAGCACTGATTGTGTGCTGAGGTACTGATGCACGGGTGAACATTTGCTTCTGCTCTCGTTCACTCTACCTACACATCAGCAGAAAAGGACACAGGCAGTTCATCCCATCAGGAGGAAGAAACTTCCATAACATACAAAAAAAAAAGTACCATGGTATGACCATGTTTTTTTTTTTTCCTGGTATTTTGAACACCATGTAAATACCACAATATATGAATTTGGCAATCATTTACAACATATTTTGACAGTACATATTACAACACCAGGGTATTATTGTCACTGTACCACGATATCACCACAGTAATGTTGTAAGGAATTCTGTTTATATGAAGCAGACTCTTCAGCAGTGGTTTTCAACCTTTGCCCCTCTGAATGGAATTTCATTATACCAAAGACAATATTTCGGGACCCCCTATCCAGGGTGTGATATTTGCCCTTGCACCCTGCTGAAATAAAAACAAAGATACTAGGAAGAATCTAAGGATGATATTACAATTCAAACAATTCAATCTCAAATAATTTTTTGCAACCAACACATTAAAGGAGTTATTGAGGGACTGATTAAAAATGTCATTTATTTTCATTAAGGTTGTACATCACAATAAAAAACTGTGCATGTTAGGTTCTTAATTACGGAGTAAGAAATATGTCATATTGCACTACACTTTGAGTTTTATCTATTATTATTATTATTATTATTGTTGTTTAGGGTTACTTCAAAATTTTTTTTTTGGGTTCTTAATTACGGAGTAAGAAATATGTCATATTGCACTACACTTTGAGTTTTATCTATTATTATTATTATTATTATTGTTTAGGGTTACTTAAAAAATTTTTTTAAATAAAAGCAGTAGTGTGTACAGGTGCATCTCAATAAATTAGAATGTCGTGGAAAAGTTAATTTATTTCAGTAATTCAAGTCAAATTGTGAAATTTGTGTATTAAATAAATTCAATGCACACAGATTGTATAAGATCTGTATAAGAACAGACAGTAGTTTAAGTCTTTGGTTCTTTTAATTGTGATGAGTTTGGCTCACATTTAACAAAAACCCACTTAAATGTGAGCCAAAATCATCACAATTAAAAGAACCAAAGACTTAAACTACTTCAGTCTGTGTGCATCGAATTTATTTAATACACGAGTTTCCCAATTTGACTTTAATTACTGAAATTTTTTTCCACAACATTCTAATTTATTGAGATGCACCTGTATACCCATTTAGCTTTTTTGTATTATTTTTGAATCATTAAAGGCAGGGTAGGTGATATGGTTCAAAAAATATTTTTGTTATGCTGGTTGAAAGTCTCTTCACATCCTGATAGTAACAAAACCCCTTTAAAGCAAGGCATTGTCACTCGGCGGCCATCTTTGAAATGCCTCTGGGGCATGCAAGTGCAGCTCCTATCTCTTTGAATGGGGAAACATCAAATTCTCCAAAACTGTTCATGAAGCTTACGATTAAATTTCATATTTGAAATCACTAATGAAATCTGACAACAACTGTCTTATAAATGTTGTTTCTTTTGCTCAAATAGCATTAATAAATCTTATTTTTCAGGCTAGACCAGCCAGTGCGCATGCACAGTCATAAGCGCAGGTCTCTGAACGCTGACTGTTTCTATCCACCTTTTTCTTGTCATAAAATTTTTTTTTTTTTTTTTTTTTTTTTTAAACAGTGGTTTACTGCACAAATTGCTCTTTCTTTAAATAAGCTCAGTTATAATACAAATTTTCTTGGGGATAAAAATCTACCTTAGCGTATGCTCTAAATCTATAGGCTACACATTTTTCCCAGAACGTTCTTGCGACCCGGTAGCAATTCTTCCACGGCCCGGTAGTGGGTCGCGACACGGTGGTTGGGGACCTCTGCTCTAAACTATAGTGAGCCCTTATGCATTAGGCATACAATGTTACAGTTAACAACAGAGCCCAAACTTAAATTAAATTAGGATTATTTATTTTTTAAATATAACAAGCAACACTCAACAAAAAAATGATGCAAACATGTAAATTGCACATAATGTAGTTTTTAAACAAACTTCTAAATTATAAAAATTCTATTTGTTGGTGGAATATAATAATTTACACAGTGCCTCTCATAACTCGTTTCATAACAGATTTATTTAAACATTGAATAATTAAGACATCACTAACAGGGTAAAGTAAAATATAATGAGTATATAGTATATATGAGTATATATTTCACGAAATGCTCTTCTCTAGACTTCATTTATAGTGAACCAACGAGCTGTGGACACTGATGACCTGCCTGAGGTAAATTAAATGCTACATGACATTTTGTTTACAAGTTGTTTTGTTGCCATCTTTCAAAGGTTGAAACACTGATTGAGCGATTACATGAGGCATGATGTTCATTCATGTTTATTTTGCGTTAAAACTAGTAGTAAGAAGGAAGGGATGATTATGCAGTGTGTTT